ACAACTGTGAGTACAAAACAAGTATTGCTGGGGTTCCTCTAGCTAGGAAGCTGGGAAAGCATCCAGGTGAGCGAGACAGATGAGCTGAGAGACCAGGGAAGGCACATGAACCAGGTCCAGTATACTGCCCAATGATGGGGGATGCTTGAACCAGTTTATCAAAAGCTTTATAAACTCTCAGAGGTAAAGATCTAATTTAGACAAGAGGATATATAAGCTTTCACTTAAGAGGTCAGGAATAAAAGCAGTTAGACTCAAAATAAGTAGGAGAGAAAATAATAAAGACAAAACAAGATGAAAAATGGACAAACATTAAAAAGTCAATGAAACAAAAATCTGGGTCATTGACAAGATCCATAAAATTGATATAAATCTCTAGCTAGCCTAATCAAGAAAGAAAAACACAAATACAACATTAGAAATACAAGCAACATCAGAAAAGAAAGGACATGATTACAGATAATAAGGAAATATTACTGTTACAGGTTGAAATGTGTCCTCCAAACAGATATGTTTAAGTCCTAACCTTTGAACCTACAAATGTGACCTTAGTTGGAAACAGGGTATTTGTAAATGTAATCAGCTTAAGAAGACCTCATTAGAGTAGACCCTAACCCAATATAACTGGAGTCCTCATAAGAAGAGGAAACTGCATGTAAAGAGAGAGAGACCCACGGGGAGAATGCCACGTGATGACAGAGCCACAAATTGAGGACTGCAGCTGCAAGCCAAGTAACACCAAGGATCGACAGCCTCCATCAGAAGCAAGAAAGAGGCAAGGAAAGATTCCACCCAGAGTCTCAGAGGAAGCATGCTGGCACCTTGGTGATGGACTTCTGTCCTCCAGAATAGTGAGAGAATACATTTTGGTTGTTTTAAGCTGCCAAATTTGTGGCACTTTGTTACAGCAGCCCTGGGAAACTAATGCAATGAAAGACAACACAGCAATGAATTTGACAGTTTAAACAAAATGGACAGATTTCTTGAAAGATAAAAATTATCAAAATTGACAAGAAACAGAATGTCTAACTAGCCCTAAATCTATTAAAGAAATGGTATTCCTAATTAAATACCTTCTCCCAAGGAAAACTTCAGACTCAGATTATTTCACTAGTAAATTCAATCAAACATTTAAGGAATGAGAATACAAATTCTATTCCCCCAAAATTGATGGATATTCAAAAGTATCCCAAATGGATATATAAGGCTGGTATTTCTCCAATACCATAAACACAAAAAGACATTTAAAAAAAAATAAATGAACAATATCTGTTATGAATATAAACACAAAAATACTTTAACAAAATATTTCCCACACAAATCTAACAATATATAAAAGAAAGATGATAAATTCAGCGTAACCAAGTTGATTTATCCAAGAAGTGTAAGTTTTTTTTAACATTCAAAAGTCAGGGGCCAGCCTGGTAGCCGTGATTAAGTTCACATGCTCCACTTCAGCAGCCCAGGGTTCACGGGTTCAGATCCTGGGCATGGATCCACACACTGCTTATCAAGCCATGCTGGGGCAGCATCCCACACACAAAATGGAGGAAGATTGGCACAGATGTTAGCTCAGTGACTAGATTGGCAATGGATGTTAGTTCACTGCCAATCTTCCTCACCAAAAAAAAAAAAAAAAAATCAACACAATTCACCATAAGTGCTCAAAAAGAAAATCTATATAATCATCTCAATAGATGCAGAAAAACTATATAACAAAATTCAACTCCCAGTCATGATGAAAGTCTCAATCAATAAGAATAGAAGGGAATTTCCTCAACCTGATAAAGAGGATCTACAAAAAAACCTACAGCTGACCTCACATAATAGTGAAAGACTAAATACTTTTCTTCATAAGACAGGGAACAAGGCAAGGATGCCTGTCTATCATCACTTCTCCTCAACATTGTCCTCAACCAGGTCCTAGCCAGTACAATAAAGCAAGAGAAAAACTGAAGGAAAGAATAAGCAAAACCTTCTACATCATCATAGGACATGATTACGTACATCAAAAAGAAATATCCTAAGGAATCTACAAAAAAAATAAACCTACTGGAAATAAGTAAACTTAAAAAGGTGATAGGATATGAGGTCAATTTACAGAAACCAATTTTATTTATATAAACTAACAACAAATAATTTTTTAAGTGTTAAATGCCACTTATAATAGCATCAAAAAATAGAAATCTAGGTAAATATGTATAAGACCTATAACCTGAAATGTATCATATGCTGAGAGAAATTTATAAAGACCTAACTTTATGGAGAGATAAATCATGGTCACAAATTCTAACACTTGATATTGTTAAGATGGCAATTCTCCCAAATTAATCTACAGATTCAATGCTGTCCCAGGCAAAATCTCACCAAGCATTTTTGAAGAAATTTTGAGAAAATGCAAAATCCTAGAATAGCCAATATACTTTTGAAAAAGAATTTGGAGGATTAGTACATCTGATTCCAAGGCTTACTATAAAGCTACGTAACTGAGACAATATGGTATTACTTCAAGAATAGGCATATAGATCACTGAGACAAAACAGAGAATCCAGAAATAGACCTACACAGGGGGCCTGCCCCATGGTGCAGTGGTTAAGTTTGCGCTCTCCACTTTGGTGGTCCGGGGTTCACATGTTTGGATCCCAGGTGGGGACCAACACACTGCTTATCAAGCCATGCTGTGGTAGGCATCCCATATATAAAATAGAGGAAGATGGGCACAGATGTTAGCTCAGGGCCAATCTTCTGCAGCAAAAAGAGGAACTTTGGTGGCAGATGCTAGCTCAGGGCTAATCTTCCTAGGAAAAAAAATAGACCTATACAGATATGGTCAATTAATTTTCTACAAAAGCAGCAAAGTAATTCAAGGGAGGATAGGGAAGTCTTTTCAACAAATTGTGCAAAAAAACTGTACATCTATATGAAATAATAGTGAGCCTCAGCCTTTTTCTCACACACAAAAATTAACTTGGAATGGGTATAGGCTAAACATATAAGTTAAAAATATAAAACTTCTAGAAGCAAACATAGGAGAAAAATCTCAGTGAACATGACAGAGGCAAAGATTTCTTAGATAGGACATAAAAGCACACAAAAAATGATAAATGAGGTTTCATCAAAATTTCAAAACTTACGCTTCTTGAAAGACACCATTAAGACAATGAAAAGACAAGACAGACTGGGAGAAAGTATTTGCAATACATATATCTAACAAGGGATTTGTATCCAAATCATACAAAGAACTCTTACAACTCCATAGTAAGACAGACAAACTCAATGTTAAAAAATACTGAACAGACATTACAATGGGCAAAATGTTGAACAGACCCTTCACAAAAGAAGATACATAAATGGCTAATGAACACATGACAAGATGCTCAATGTCATTAGTCTTCAGGGAAATGCAAATTAAAAACCACAATGAGATACCATTACACACCCACCATGATGGCTAAAATTAAAAAGACTGACACTATCAAGTATTGGCAATAACATGAAGCAACTGGAACTCTCATATGCTGCTACTGGGAAAATAAAACGATGCAACCACACTGGAAAACAAACTAGAAGTTTCTTAGAAAATTAAACGTGCACTTACCATAAGATTCAACAATCAAATTCCTAGGTATTTAATAAAAAGAAATGAAAACACATGTCCACACAGAGACTGGCACATAAATGTTCACGGCAGATTTATTCATAATAGCCAAAAACTGGAAACACATCAAATGTCCATAGGTGGATGAACAAATTGTGGTATGTCTGTACAATGGAATACTACTCAGTAACAGAAAGAATGAACATGAAAAGATACATGAAAGAACATGAATTAATTTCAAAAATATACTGACCAAAAAGAAGCCAAATACAAAAGAGCACATGATGCATGCAATTTTATAACAGTCAAAACTAATTTGTAGTGACTGAAAGCAGATCACTGGTTGCCTGGGCCCCAGTGGGTGGGGAGGGGCAGAAAAGAACTTTTGGAGGTGATGAAAACGTTCTATGTCTTGATTTGATGGTGTTGAAGAAATGTATACATTTGTGAAAAACCCATTGATCTCATGATTTAAAATAGATGTGTTTTATTGCATAAAAGTATAACTCAATCAAGTTGATTTTTAAAATGTCAAGGTCATGAAAGACAAAGAAATCCTGAAGAACTGTCCCAGATTAAAGGACGCTAAAGTGACATCACTACTAAATGTATTGCATGATCCTGAACATGGGGGACAAACACCTATAAATGACATTGTGGGAGCAGTTGACAAAATTTGAATAGGGCTTATAGATGAAATCATGGCAATGTAGAAATGCTACATTTCCTGACTTCGATAACTGTACTATAGTTATACGAGACAAAGTCCTTGTTCTTGTAGAATATTTAGACAAAGGGATATAATTTCCCCAATTTATTATCAAATGGACCAGCAAGGAGAGAGAGAGAATTGCAAAGCACACCTAGAACTAAATATAAACAAATGGTAACTGTGGGTAAAGGTTATATGAGAGTTCCTTGTATGATTGTTTCAACTATTCAATAAGTTTGAAATTATAGAAAAATCAAAAAATGTTTTTTTAATGAAAAGTAAGCACATAGATTGGAGGGCAGGGGCAGGAAAACAATTTGTTAGTTCTTAATTGTGCTCTCTCTCAAAGCCAGAGGCTATTGAAATGATTTATCCTATTAATAAGGAAAAGACCCAGGCTCTTTATCATAGTTCTCTCGTCGGCTCTGTGGGTGGTTCAGGGAAAGAGAAAGAATTTCTCAGGGTCGTTAGAGATTAACTGCTTTCCAAAAACAAAATCTTCCCCTTTTCCCCAAGAAGACAGACAGCATCTGATCTCTTAAATCATAGTCCAAAAGAGTATTTTCTTTGTCTTCTAACTCATCTCTGTTTCCACAATGGAATAAGTCCTCCTGTCAGAAAACATTAATTTGTAAGTAATCACAAATTACCACAGGAGACAAACAAAAAAATGACAAAATTCCATTTCACCGTTTCTTCTGCGTCAGCTGAAGCAGTCGTTGAAAACACAATCAATTCTCTTCTCACAGATACAATTATAGGTATGAGAGCACTCAGTATTTGTTATTCTCGTTGAAGTTAAAAATGCACATTTTCCTCCTCTCCCGGAAGGCAAATTCATTGTAAAATTACTGTAGAACAGAAAACATACATTGTCAACTGTTGAATGCTGAAGCTTATAATAGCATAAATCATAATCTTTTTTAAGTCTATTGCCTAAAGATCTGGAATATGGAAATGTTAATCATAACTTCATCACTAAAAAATTTTCTTTTCCTTTTAGCCCATTAACTATAACAATCACAGCCTCCTGATCACACCCATAAACTTCCATTTTATTCCACACTAGGAATTTTTGGTGAGAAGGCAAAATTACCTTGCAATATTGCTCTGGGATCATGATATGTAGCAAAACTGCTTTCTTATGTTAATTTTTTCAATAAAATAGAGAGATTAAAAAGAACTGAATTTCTATGACAGAGATAACCAGGTCTCATGTGCATATCCTTAAGGAGAAAAAGTAGAATTGGAATATAGTCAGAGATGAAGTTGTTTAATTGATGTCTTTGTTTTGTTTCTTTTCCTTCCCTACCTCAATAACAATTATTAGCTAAAACGTGACAATCCATTGAAAAATATCTGAAAGCAGGAGTTCTATTTCAGCAAAGTGGTGGATTAGGTATCAGAACTATCTTCGTATTGAAACAATTAAAAATGTTGAATAATAAAAATTTAAACCTTCTTGAACAGATTTATGAAGTGGCAAGAAGCAAATTCATACTCAGGCTGAGGGTTAAGCAAAGGTGAGGACCCAGAAATGTAGGTGAAGCTCTGAAGTCAGTTTTCCTTTCACTGATACAGTAGGCTGAATAATGAATTCCACCCAAGATTCTAAATAGAAGGCAAGCCACGTAGAGTTGCAACCCCAAACGGATGTATCTTCAGTATAAACCACCCAAGAACTGTCTTGAACCTTGGTCTTAAACAGAAGAGAAAAAGAATAATCCCACCTAAGAGTTCAAAATCATACACCATCCCTCATGTAATCTGCATTTGCTACATTATTTAAGAATATTCAAATCTGCTACAGGGATAAAGAGAAATAAACAAGGAAGATAAATGAAACTAAGTTGCTCATGAGGCAGAGGCAGGACACATAAGATGTGTTAAGTGCGTATAAGTAGGTAACCTATGAGACATGTTAGGCATAGACACAGTAACTAGAGCATGTCTGTGCTGACCATGGGAAAAGAAGAAAGAACCAAGTAGATGCTAAATATAATATTCAAAGTATACATAACGCACATAGATACTCAACATTCATGAGGTCGTAAGTTCCCTACCCACTGGTGACACTCATTCTGGCACTCTCCCTAAGAAACTCAAATAAAACCCATAGCTGCTCATGAGGTTAATTAGAAAGCTGCAGCTGTGCCCAGGCTTACATGCACCTGCATCTCCCCAACAGAGAAAATGTGTATGCTCGCCACAAGAACCTTCTGTTTTTGGACCCCTTTACTCAAACCTCAAGTCTGGTGCTAGAAACCATCATCAGGAAAGGGTTATGCAGCAGAGAGAGTCAGGCCACATGAAGGTCGCATAACCCAGGATTCAGGCAATCCTTTCATCCATTTGCACCTTATCCTAGTGTGACAACCTATCCCATCCCACCCAAGTGTGAGAGCTATCCCATTTCCTTCCCCTTGAATAGTATGATGTGGTTTAGATTGATTGAATTAATTGTGCCATTTGAGCATGTTAATCTGGCCGTGAGCCTTTCTGTTCTGTGACCTCTGAGACTGTTTTGCCTGAACGTGTACTTACAGGCTACGATTACATTAAGGTAATTTCCTGCATGACATCTTTCATAGGTTTGCAGCCCAGAACTACACTACTTGCAGGACCTATATTTAGAATTTAGAATTTAGTGGGGCTGGCTCCGTGGCCGAGTGCTTAAGTTCGCGCGCTCCGCTGTGGTGGCCCAGGGTTCGGATCCTGGGCACGGACATGGTACCGCTTGTCAGGCCACGTTGAGGCAGCATTCCACATCCCACAACTAGAAGGACATGCAACTCAGATATACAACCGTGTACAGCAGGGTTTGGAGAGATAAAGCAGAAAAAGAAAAAAAAAAAAAGATTGGCAACAGTTGTTAGCTCAGGTGCCAATCTTTAAAAAAAGAAGAATTTAGAATTTAGAATCAGTGGCCCAGATTCACAGTGCCCCAAGGCATCCAACAAATTAAATTCTTTCTTGAGGAAAGCACCTTCATCTCAGTCCTTGAATAATTTCCACAGCAGATCAAAAAGGAAAAAAAAAAATCACTAAATACTACAAAGAAAATGGCATCATGAACAAAAATCAGCAGAAATAATTCAGTGGACCCACAAAACTTCAAAGATAAGAATTATCAGATACCAAATATAAAATAAGAACATTTAATATCTTTCAAGAAATAAAAGGGAGTTTAAAAATATGAGTAACTAGCAAGAAGATTTGGAAACATAAAATAGAGTTTCTGGAAATAAAAAATATAATACAGTGGGCCGGCCCCGTGGCCAAGTGGTTAAGTTCGCATGCTCCGCTTCAGCAGCCCGGGGTTTCCCCAGTTCGGATACAGGGCACGGACTTTGCACCGCTCGTCAAGCCTTGTTGAGGTGGTGTCCCACATAGTAGAACTAGAAGGACCTACAACTAGAATATACAACGATCTACTGGGGGGCTTTGGGGAGAAGAGAAAAAGAAAGAAGAAAAAGATTGACAACAGATGCTAGCTCAGGGTCAATCTTAAAAAATATGTATAGACAATACATAGTTCAGATTTTCAAAAAATTATTGAACAGTTTAACAGCAGACTATAATTAAACATAAACTCAAGAGTTTACAAAATACTACACTTCAAAACAGAAGGACTATAGTAAAGGTAGATATATTTATATTTACAAATAATACAAACTAATAGTGTTATATGTTATAGTGTAATAGAGTTTCAGATGAATTTTTGGGATACTCAAAATATTCATTTGAGGTTGTGGGAGGGATCACTATGGCTAAGTCAGCATGGTCCAATCTCTTCATATCACTTTATGATTTTGTTTTATTTTGTGTACCTCATAACACATCCTTCTCAGCATGTATTTAGAATCAGAATTTTGTTATTATTGATAACTCTGTATGATGCATCTGTTCCTTTTTACCTATACTTCCTAAAACACTTTCTTAGTCATTCTACGTATTCTTACCAATGACCTCTACCTGAAAATGAGTTAAGCTGTGCGAAATGAGAGAAGATTCCTTTTTTAGATATAATCGTTCCAACCCCAACACCAGTCTCAGAGTTTGAATGCATTCCAGAGACTTACATTCCAGAAGACGTGCCATCGTCAATCCATTTCCATTTACTTTCCTTTGCATTATATGATAATCCAATCCAGTAGGTATTTTGATAAGCCTGGCGTTGAATGAACGCCTATAAGGGAAACAAAACATATCATGTGAGTAAATGCCCACATGTTAGAGAATGAAAAGAAGGACAGGTAAAGGGTCCAGCTGTTTCTCTGGCCAGTACTCTGCTCCTCTCCACATCATCCTTCAACCCTCCTTCCTAAAAAACCTTCTCTCCCCTCGCTCTCTGTGTTTTCATTTTTCAAAGTAATTTTCTCCAGGATTATTCATTTATTTTAAAAATGACTGCCAGTCTCACAGATTATTTAAAACATGGAAAAATTTAAAATCTAAATAAATAACAATAGGAGATTTGTTAAATAATTTAGGACATTTTACGAAACCATTCAAAGTCACGCTCCAGAAAACTACTTCCTCATGTAGAAAAATGATCATCATATATTCTTCACTGAAAATAGGAATCTTCAAAACAAATTTATTAAAACAACAAATGTATGTGGGGAGATGTGCCTTAGAGCCTTTAGCCTCATAAGAGAAAGACTTGCTGGAGTTCAGTAATTGGAAGTGGTAAAGGGAAAAAGGGAGGTATTTGGAAATATTTACTGTCCAAAATGTACTATATCAAAGTGACATATTACATAATATCTGATTAAATGACAGAATATATCTTAAACTTCAGGTTTAAATTTAACTGTGTTTTACTGCAACAAACATAAAAAGTTATTTTATGACTTGATATAATAAATTCTTTTATGTTGTGATTTAAAACATCTATTAGATTTGCATATAAATTTTGTGTTGTTTTCCTAAATGATAAATAGAGGTTTCAGGCTGATCTTTGCAAACATTTCTCTATAAAGACACATTTTGTGAGTGTGGATAGTTTTTATTAGTAATAAATTAAAAAGATAATTTTGATATTGTCACTGTATTTTCTCTTTTTATAATTCTTTGTGAAAGTTATACATACTGATATAATATATAAGAATATTGATCAAGTAAATGTTACCTACAGATGCAGTGAAAATCAGCATAAAGCTAATTTGTAAAACTGTTTTCACTTTTATGTTTCTCATTATTATCTCCATTTTGCCAATCGGAAAACTGGTGCTCAGAGAGGTTAAGTACTTTACCAAAGGTAACCTAGCTAATAAGTGGCAGAAGTGGATTTTATCCCAGGCAGTCTGGCTCCTGTATTCCTAAAAATAACTACTAGACTATGTTGTCTCCGGGTTCTTAATTGCCACTTTATAGGGAGAAATAATTGCTGGTTCCAGGCTGCAATTTACCAAAGCGTGAAGTAATTCATCGTAGGAAAAGCACACTTCTCCAGGAGCAGCTCTCCAGCACACTCCTTAGAGAGGGAGATGATTGCGAAGACCCAAACTGCACCTTCAAGGGGCTTTCCATTTTAGAAATAACAATGGTCATTAGGATAGAAAACATGTATTGAATGTTTAGTAAGGAGCAAGGTCATACGCCTATTAGCAGGCAGGGGTCTCCTGGGAGACTCTTAGCTATGCAATTTTTGCTCACTCGACAGACACAACACAAAGAATAAGTGAAGGTCCCTCTTTCTTGACTCCCCCCTGCCCTCAATATCTTGGGTCCAAAATGAGGGACAGAATCCAAGAGAATAAAAGTGAATAAAACAATCCATGATACCCGTTCATCTTCATCATCTATCTTCAAAGAGATAAATTGTAACGTTGGCAAGTCTTATTACATCCCTTCCAGTCTTTAATTTCATTGGTAAAATAATAACAGTTTACTCCACAACAGGACCAGCGGCCTTCATTGAGTTTACCTACGGTGTATAATGTGAAACATTAAACTTCTTGTCATCTGGTATTCTGTTAAGCAGAACAATATATTTATCAGCCCTCTATAAATAAACTCTTAATAGCTATCAATAATGATAATAGGAGGTTCATCAATATTCTGGAGGCCAAGAGATATCCACATTCGCACATTCATTGTAGCATTATTCACAATAGCCAAGATATGTAAACAACCCAAATGTCCATCAATGGATGAATGGATAAAGAAAATGTTGTATATACATAAATGGAATATTATTCAGCCTTTAAAAAAAGGAAATCCTGGCATATGCATCAGCCTAGATGAACCTTGAGGATATTATGCTAATCACAGTGAAATAAGTGAATCAGAGAGGAACAAATATAGCATGATTCTGCTTATATGAGATAAAAAATATTCAAACTCACAGGCACGGAAAGAGTAAAATGGTGGTTGCCAGGGCTGGAGCGGGGTAGGGGCAGGGGATTGAGGAGTTGTTGTTCAAGGGGTATACAGTTTCAATTATGCAAGATGAATAAGTTATAGAAATCTGTCGTACAACGCAGTGCCTACAGTTAGCAACACTGAACTGCGCACTTAAAAATCTGTTAAAAGGATATATCTCACGTTAAGTGTTCTTACCACAAAAAAAAAAAAGGAATGTGAGGACCTAGATCACTAGCACATATCCTAAGCCTTTTATTAGGCCTCAAAGCTTCTGGAGGGGGAAGAAATAATGAAAAATCCTGCTATCTTTCGCTCACGATTTCCTCCATACCTGTATCTTGCAAAGACTTTGAAAAGATCTCTTGTTTTATGTGACATCTCATCTTTTCTACAAAGAGTGAGTCCAGTTCCTTTTTCTGATGAAGGGTTTCATTTCTGAGAACGTCGCATTCTAAAGTCTTATTTATCAAAAGTCGTTCCTTTAAGTAGTTGTCCTTTTTTATAATGTCATACATTTGACTGAGGTTTCGTAGAATTTCCTCCTGTTGATATTTTTCTTGAATACACTGAAAAACTAAAATTAATAGCATAGATATAATACAAAAAGTACTCATAATGTTTAAATGTTGAAATTTAATACAAGAGAAAAAGTCTCACATTGACAACCAACCCATTTCATTACTTTAATTAGCAATTTGACATTTAGAAAGTAACACATCAATAAACCGACCACAAAAATAGAAACATCAAATTTCCCACTATTAGCAACTTAAGTGTAGAATAAATAAAATGAGATATATGAATAAAATTATAATGGTAACACTTTACCATTCAGTTTAGTTTCTTTTTAACAGCACACTATTTAGAAATAGGTACCAAAGTAAAAATCAATCAACATTTAACAACACATCCTCTGAGTATGAAAATCTGTACTAAGAAACATGAAGAAATAGCACCCTTATTATTGGAGTAGATGGAATATCCATAGGGGAAAAGAAAGGAAGATCCAAATATGTAATTTTATCTGAGTGAATCATATTAGTGATTTTCTCTAAAGATGTCAAGAAATTCAAATAAAAGATATAGGCTGAATTCACGGATCATATAACATCCATGTATAGAATTTTTTACTAAACCATTTCTTCATTGTGTACCTAGAAAAAGTCAAGAGAAAGTCATAATTTCTTTTGAACAGTTGTTTCTCAAAGAATGTTCAGCCAAGATTCACAATGATCTAAACTCAGAAGGCAGAATATTACTAAGTCCTGTATTGAACGAATGTGACGATGTATTATACAGAATGAGAAAGCTCATTACAGATGAAGTCATTGGAATAGGTAAGTAAAATGAAAACAACACTGTGATGTGCCTGAGGAAAAATCACTCAAAAAGAGTCCAATTAGGACATTCCCTGATTATAGCCAAGGAGCAATTGTTGGAGCATGGTTAACATCTGCACTATTAGTGGTTACTGCTATCACTCAGACTTGAAGGATATATTTCAAATACTCACGCATTGTCCCCAACACTGTGGCTGTCACCAAAAGAAGTAAACAGAGAATCCCAAGAGTCACTACGAAGGGAAGCCAGGGCACTGAAAACTCTTTAAATAAAGAAGGAAGAAAATAATCAGAAAAGAAAAGAGCCTTGTCCACTACTAACTTTAACCTAGGGCAACATTTTGAACAAAAAGACATTCCTGTCTAAAAATTTCACAAAAATATATCATGCAAATTGATTTAAATTTGTGATCTTGTAATTACAGTTTTAAAGTTTCCGATTTCTGTCTGACATACACTCGTAGAAATGTTATACACAAGAACAGTCCTATAGGATTTTAAAAGTACATCCCTTACAAAAGCATAGATGGCAATAGACGCAATACACATTTATGAGGATCTACACTGATATGTATAATCCTTCCTGTGATCACCATGAAGAGGAGGAAAAAGCAGTCAATATTCTTGAGAAATTGGTGGCCAATAGTGGATATTCTGGAGCTGCGAATGTGATTGGGGTTCATCCTTAAAGGAGTTTCTAGAAATCAGCTTTCTTTTTCATCAGTTTTACTTTTCTCTAGTCAATACTATATTTATCCTCCTACTTTGGAGGTCCTCAGTATCTAAAAGTTATCTCTGTCATTAAGTTAAACAAGTAAAAGTTATTCTCAATTCAGAGTCTGTGACAATATTTGAGGGGAAAGAGAAAGAACAGAAACATCAGAATGCTCCTTTTGATTTGAACATGTTTGCTTCTTCATTGCCACTAGGGTTTGGTAAATATTTAAGACACCTAAAATATCTTTTGTATGAATAAAAGCATTGCTTCTAATGCATATTTTGATTTCTCATTCTTTAAGACTTATGTTTCTTTAGGAAATACAATCTTTTCTTGAGACTCTGGTCTGTCCTTTCCTTTTAATTTTTTTTTGAAAGATTTGCTCTGGGCTAACATCTGTTGCCAATCTTCCTCTCTCTCTCTCTCTTTTTTGTTTCTCCCCAAAACTCCAGTACATAGTTGTATATTCTAGTTGTAAGTCCTTCTGGTTCTTCTATGTGAGCTGCCACCACAGCATGGCTACCGACAGATGAGTGGTGTGGCTCCATGCCCAGGAACCAAACCCAGGCACCCGAAGTGGAGCAGGCTAAACTTCAACTACTAGGCCATCTTGGCTGGCTCTGTCTTTTACTTTTAAAGCCTCATGAATTTCTCTTAAACAAACTTGAATGAATATTAGCTTCTCAAATTTAGAAGAATTCATTACATTCTCCATTCTCACAAACTTTAAAAAAGAGAGACTTGTTCTACTAGTCTACACAATTATGATTTGATATTACCATCCGAGAATCTGAAGTACAGATAGGAAAACTTTAATCAAAACTCTAAAGTTTGACAATTCATAAAAGACAGGTGTATCTAGATGCTTAAAACATGTACCTTTGTCATCAGTTTTCCCAGGCCTTTGAGTACCACCAGGCCTTAATCTATTTTGTGACTCTGAAGGAGACTGAACAAATCTCAAGGAGCAATAAGTCACTTCCTGATTGCTCATGTCTAGAGTAAGAAAAGAAATATGTTTTGCATTGAATCTTCGCAACAGGAGTATTTCTGTCTAAAGAAAAATTAAAGTGTCAGTCTATAGAACACACTCAGGATTAAGAGGTATGTGTGTATATCTGTACGTGTATGTGAGGGTGTGTTTATTAACTCCTTTAGCTGCCTAAAGCATGTAGACTCAACTTGATTTATATGAGAAATGGAAAACCTTTCAACATCTCTGATAGAGTCATTTACACTCCTAGTCATTACTGCCATAATTATTATATAATACAGAAAGAATCTTTTTAAAATCTACCAATAGATTGAATAGGCTGGGTCCTATTCACCCAGTCAATATAGTTCAATATGTTCAACATACATATACAAATGTTAGGTAGAAGTGGTATCATCCCAAATTACTGGGACACTTTTAAAACTATCAATTCAGAAAACTAAAATTCTATCTTTTTGTAATTCTGAAAAAATATAAATATCTTGGCTTAAAAAAGATGTACACATAAATATTAAAAAGTTCCTGCATTCTTTTCAATTTCAACATGACTTTACCAAATTGTTTCCCAAAGTGTATCCCGTATACTATCTACAAAAGAATTATTGGGGGTTAACATTGCAGATTGGTTAACATTCCAGATTCCAGTGCCCCATGCAAGATATGCTGGATAAAAGTCTCTCAGGTTGGAGTCTAGACACTTGTATTTTTAATCCCAAATGATTCGATGTATACTAAAATTTTAGAAATAATCTTCTAGTGTATGATGTTGCCATAGAATCCTATGTGAAAATAAAATTTGTCAGTGGGCAGTCATTAGTTAATATCCATAAAGGATTCAATCTGTTAATGGATATACTTATCAAAAGAAATTTTTAAATAGTAAATATTTAAAATTTACCTCGCTGCTTACATTAATCAGTGTGAATAGAGGATATCCACAAAACAAGAAATATGGAAAATAAATTGCACATGTAACTATAGTCTTTAAAAAAATGTTTTAATATACAAAACTTTTTAAACTTAATTATTCACATTTCCTCTAATTTCCTAAGGAAAAGGAGTCTTTTCTATTACAGAATCCTTTAAGATTGATAAGATAATATGTAAATCATCAGACCCAAAGAAAAGTAGTTAATCACCAAATCCCTCTTCATTTAGATAACACAAAGCAAAAATTGTAGCATATTGAAAAAAAGAAAATAACTTCCCGTGAATGCTGAACTACAGCTTTCACATCCTTCTGAATTAATGCAGTTCTAAAACAATCAATAGAGAATGCTTTCCCATCGATCCCATGTTCACGTCAAGTCATTTGTAATAAAATCCCATATTGCTAGAATCTTTTCTTCATAAGTAGGGCTAACAGTATACTCAGGTACAAAGGTCTGAAGGACTAAGAGCAGAGGGTACCTGTGTCTGTGCCACGCAGCGATGCAGGAGGAGAAAGCTGACCCAACAACAAGGTGGGAGAAGTCGGCCTTTCCAATCCTGGATCCCTCGGGTGTGTGAGAGGCTGTAAGACACGGAAGGCAGAAATGAATTGTCTCTGAGTGGTACTCCAACTCAAAATTGTCTGCCCCTCCTCTTGACCAAAGTGATAAAAGGAAATTGTATGATAAAAGCTGAGGTTGACGGGAAAGGAAAAATGGTCATGAGCTATCTCTTCCTCCATTTCAAATAACCAACCACTTGGTACTCTTCACAAAATAACATTCAAAATCTGTATTTGAGGACTGAAAAGACAAACAAACACAGCTTTGGAGAAACAAAAACTAATATCTTTGATAAAAACCAGCATACTTAAAGGAAAGTACTACCCAAAACAAATGATTAAAATATATAGGTATAAATATATATGCATACACACAAAAATATTATTACTAAATTCTTTAACTCTTAAATAATCTGTTAGAAACTTTCTCTTATATGTTGCTATTTGAAAAATATTATTTCTTTTTTCCATTTATGTTTATTGCAGATAAATGTATTTTGGAAATTATTTTAAAACATCCATAATTCCACTATAAAAATTTTGGTGTATATTCTTCTAGTTTTTTAGCCATACGTTACGTTTACTATCAAAGTCTGTGTCATTGCATACACAATGTTTTTGATTTATTATTTTCTAACCTTTTTCCATTTAAAAAATATTTATCTAAAATGAGATTTTAAACCATAAATAGTTATTGCCCATATGGATTATACTATAATTTATTTAGGTAATCTCCTACCATCGGACATTTCGGTTGTTCCCAATTTTGTGCTAGAATAAAATATAATGGGCGTATACTTTTGAATATTTTTCTAGGAAAAATTTTAAAACATGAAATTATGGGGTCAAGGGGTATATACAATAAAGAACTTTGATACATATTACTAAACACCCTCCATAAAACTTGTTCCCATTTATTACCACTAGTTGTGTATGAAAATGTTCACTATTGATTTTTTAAGACATATTGGTGATTTATTCCTCCACTTGAGTTTTGTGCATGAATCTTACTTCATGAAGATTTACAATCTTCCAGCTAAAAGAAATTTATTTCTAGAACTCTGTTTCTATGAGCCAGAGCCTGCCAAAATACACTCAAATCTCTCACTGAAGTTTACTTTCGTTTGATACAGGCCTTGTCAATCTTCTGACATACAGCTCTATGAAGCCAATTTAAATTGCTCTTCAAATCAGGTGAGAGTGGTTACTACGGAGTGTGGAGGAAGAGGAGTGAGGTGTGGAACAGAAGAGGAAATTGATTATGCAGAGACAAATCCACCCTGATTTCACCAACTCTGGCCAAATTCTTTGCTTAATTCTTTCCTTCTCTTCCCCACCTCTAGCCACAGCTAAACCGTCCCACTTTAGAAGCCTTTCCCATACTTCAGTTTGCTCAAATGCCCCCAGCTCTCCTCCCAACTGCCATACAGACATGGTCTACTGAGTGTTTTGACCAATAGTAACCTGTCTAGGTTATGCTGCGTGTTGTTTGCCCTCAACTGGCCTACTTGTCCCCCAACGCAGCCCTTAATCTCTAAATCACCACTGAGGTCTGCCACTTGTCACCATGTGCAGGAAGGCCGCTGGAATATCTCCCAGAGACTAATTTAATTCAATAACATAAGCAAAGTATCACAGGATGAGCCTGCACACTTCAAGAATACTTGCTGCTGGGCATTTCCTTCTCTTTACCCTAATCTTGGATTGGGTAATCTTTGTCAATCTCAAAACAGAGAAAGATCCCCAGCCCTCTATTGCAATGCCAAAAATAAATAAAGAAGCTCTGCTGAGAGAACACAGGGTGTAGGGGCGGAGAAAGAATAATCATTGTCGAGAAGGTGGCAGAGAGAGACATTATCATTTATTAGGACCTACTGTGTCTATAACAATATCGAAACCTCTTAAAGCTGACAGATATTTATTATTGTTCCCATTTTGCAAATGGAGAAATTAATGTTGAAGTTAATTGACTGCCCAACGGACACATCATTACTAACACTTGATCCATGTTTAAAATCAGTCCTGAGTGAATACACAGAGCACAAACGGACTATGGATTCAAAGGGCCTGGATTTTCAACAAACCTCTGCCACAAAGCATGAATTCTGGAACCAGGTGGATCTGGCTTGAAATACCAGCCCAAGCTTCTATGTGTGACTTGAGGCAGGTCACTTCACTTCTCTAAACCTTGGATTCACTACAGTAAAATAGGGATAATATTTTTAAAATATTTAAATTAATATTAATATTTAATATGAGATAGGGTATATAAAGTGCCTAACCAGACCTGGAAAATATAAAGTAGGCACTCATTAAATGTTAAATATTATTATTTGAGGTTGAAGATTCAAATCCTTCCTAGCTGTAAAAATTTGAACAAGCCACTCCAAATCTTTAGCCTCATTTTCCTCACATGTTCAATAAGAGTATCACTTACTTCATAGATTTGGAAGAATTCAATGAGATATCACTACAGACACGATTTCTTAGACTTCAAAATAGGTAAATGTTCATTTTTCCACTCTCTTCCAAGGTAATATAAATAGTGGAAGAGCCAGGACTGCAACCCAACAATCCTGACACACTGAGCTAGGTTCTCTATCCTGACACGTCAGGTTTGGAGTGCAGATGCTTGGAGGAAAGTGTGTGTGTGTATGGGGTGGGAGGGCCACATTAATACAATTTAGGAGCTGGAAACGTGTGGCAGCACACTGCCACCTCTCTAGAAAAACCATTCTGTAATCTCAAGTCTGGTTACTTAAAGCTTGTGGGTCCATGGAGACAGTGGTAATGTTGAGCTTTCTTTCTGTTTTGTTTTTTTTTTTTTTTTGAGGAAAATTAGCCCTGAGCTAACTACTGCCAATCCTCCTCTTTTTGCTGAGGAAGAGTGGCCCTGAGCTAACATCATGCCCATCTTCCCCTACTTTGTACGTGGGACGCCTACCACAACATGGCTTGCCACGCGGTGCCATGTCCGCACCTGGGATCCAAACTGGCAAACCCTGGGCCACCGAAACGCAGAACGTGCGCACTTAACCGCTGTGCCACCGGCCGGCCCTCTTTCTGTTTTGATTTACACCCTTATAGCTGGTGAGGGTACACAGTTATGATGGAAGCTAGACAGATACACAATACCTTTTTATACTTAACATAGTTATCTGTCACCTCTACATAAACTCCACAGGGTGAGTACTACATCTGTCTTGTTCATTATTGTAACTGCAGCACATAGAAGAGAGATGATGCCTACATGTGCACTCCATGAATATGTTCAAGTTAAGAGAAATTGACTACAAAATTTGGATTTTTCAATTTTAGAGAAAGGCAGAATGAGATTAATGATTGGAAAGCCAAATTAGGTAGCTGTTCTCTCTAAGCTCTAGTTTCTTTTTTTCACTAAGCTCTGAATTTCTGAAGGCACATTTCTTCTTAAATAAGAAGACAACCAGAATCAGAAGACAACACCAGTAACTTCCAACGGGACTAACTGAAACTCCTAGCATGGCCCTTCGATCAAAGCACAAAACCGAAGCACCAAACTTATCTATTACGACTGCTAATAAAACAGAAAGATGAGAAATTTGAAGAATGTTTGGAATGTTCTTGAACTTTGTCTTCTGAATTTACTTTTCTGCAAAACACACACACAACATGAATATATAAAGCATCCAAATATTCACTTCCTGGCTGCTTTGCTGCAAAGCCTTTTTTCATTTGGGAAACCACACATTTTACCCATTCCTTCCTGACAATATTAATTTTGTCAGCGAGAAGCTTAACACACAGCTTCTAGTCACACCTTCAAGCTTTCTGGTCACAACTGCAAACCACAGAGACTTATCATTTCACAGGAGCATGCTGTTCTTCCTGTCCTAAGCTGAAGTAAAGGATGTCTGGAATAACCACGAGCTCCTAGAGAAAGACGGTCTGCATCACTCTATTGGGAGGAGTAATCTCACCTGGCCAGGTTCCCACCTCCATGGTTGTTTGTCCTAATGCCTAACCTTTATGCCACTGAGAGATATTAAATTTCCTGGCTCTTACAGTAAAAACTCAAAAGACCACTTGTTTGAGGTTTCCTGTTCCCATAATTAACCACCTCATTTGTCCTTCTTGTCTTTACAAAAAAGCTGTTCTAATGCTCTAGAGTTAAAATCCTCTATATCATCCCAACTGGCCTCCAGCAGTCAGACAAACAGTCACCATCCTTCCTCCAGTTTCTAAGTAACTAAATGAGAAGGACTTCTCAGCAACTAAGTAAGCATGAAAAAATAATGACCAAAAAAGTATATCAGATGGCTATTTGGGCTCTGTGCCACTAAGAGATAAAGTCTATTCACAGGTTGAAAGGGAAAAGAGTTCTGTGAAGTAGTGCCATAATTGAGAATTTTGATTCTTCAGTGTTCTCTCCACTATACCACACAGTTCAGACTCTATGCTCACCCTCAAATCATTCATTTACCTTTGTTGTTTATTTTCATTAAATTTTTTGGATTTTTTATTCTAGCTTATTACCACATGCTAGGAAATCAATTACCAAAATTATCAATAAACTTAACGTCCACACAAAAACTTGTACATGGATGTTTATAGCAGCTTTACTCATAATTGCCAAAATTTGGAAGCAACCAAGACGTCCTTTAGCAGGTGAATGGACAAATAATCTGTGGTACATCCAGACAAGGCAATGTTATTCACCACTAAAAAGAAATGAGCTATCAAGCCATGAAAAGACTTGGAGGAAACTTAAATGTGTTATTACTAAGTGAAAAAAGTCCATCTGAAAATGCTACATACCATGTGATTCCAACTATATGACATTATGGAAAAGATAAAACCATGGAGGCAATAAGAAGATCAGTGGTTGCCAGGGGTTGAGAGCAGGGAGAAATGAATAGGTGGTGCGTGAGGATTTTTAGGGTAGTGAAAATACTCTGTATGATACTATAATGGTGGATACATGTCATTATACCTTTGTGCAAACCCATAGAATGTACACCACCAACAGTGAACCCTGAGGTAAACTATGAAATTTGAGTGATTATTATGTGTCAATGTTGCTTTAGCAATTGCAACAAATGTACCTCTCTGGTGGAAGTTGTTGATAACTGGAGAGGCTATGCATGTGTGGGAGTGGGGGTATATGGGAAATCTCTGTACCTTCCTATTAATTTTGTTGTAGACCTAAAACTGCTCTAAAAAAATAGTCTTTAAAAATAATCATATGGATCAGTGGTTGAACTTACAGCACAACCCATGTTCACAGGTCTCGCACATTTCAAATCAAAACAAGGTAGTCTAATAATAGTATATATAAAATAATATCAGCTATCATTTATATTCAAATTAAAAATGTCCACATGAATAGACTCAGCTTGATATCAATGAAATATGTGCCTGCACTCTTAACCATAAGAAGCAGAGGCATAAAACCTGGAAACTCAAAATAAAAATTTATAAATAAAATAGAACGGTAGAGCCTGGCAGATCATGCCCATTCTCACTAGTCCTCTTTGCTGTGCTGTCTTTGCTGCTTTGATTGAGAAAAGTGAAACCGTTCTACTCAGACTATACATGAGAGATTAGGTTCACAGATGAGCCACATCCAAAAAACACATCCTTATCAAATGTATTCAAATATACAACTCTGTGGTATGAGTATGTATGAGCAAAATTCATGGTAATTGAAAGGTTTCCACAGCCACAGAAATGAATCTCTTCTACCTTAGACTAAGTTACAAAAACAATCTGAAGGTACTAAGTACAAAAGACAGCAAGTCCAATAATCTTTTATAAAGCACCTACTATATGGAAAAGACTGGTAGGTGCCGAGTAGTGACACTCCATCCCATGAGTGGGAAAAGGAGATACAGGGCACAGAACCAGCACTTGGAAATAAGTTTGATTATTATAAGAGGTCTCTCTATTATGGGGGAGTAGCGGTGGGGACATGTGGTATTTGCTGACCTGACTGCTATAAAAATCTAGTTTCACATAAAACTAGTGCTGTACAAAATTGAACTTTTACTGATCACCAGCAGCTTACAGTCAAGTAAGAATCAGTTCAAACAAAGTTTAAGGAAATCAGAGACAATATAAAATATTTATCCTAATGACCTATTCTCCAATCTTGGTTTGAATATGATAAACTTAGTAGATAGCGGAGAAGAGTATAATAAATAAATCAGAACTAGAAGGAAGTTAGAGAATAGGGACAGAGTTAATATGTTAAAGATTTTTTAATCTACGGCCTATTTCTCCCCAGCCTTGCTCAATCTTGAGTGGATCATCTTATTCAACAGATGCCACAGAATGAAGATTATTTTGTGGAGCAACCAAAAGTTGTGGGCCCATAGGAGGGTCAAAGAGCAGTTGTTTCTCCCCTTGTCCGTGAAGTTGACATCTAAGCGTAAGAGAATTATAACATGATTTTATAGTGCACATTCATCAAGATCTACAATGTGAACAGAAATATTTATTTTCATAAGAAACCTGAAGTGATGACAGTGTAGTGTTACACAATGAAGTGGAGATGAGGTGACTTTCCATGAAAACTCTGAAGGGGATGGCCATGCATTTTTATACAGTGTAAAGGACCAAATAGCACTCCGTGGCAAACAGGCTACCAAGCCAGGTTCTAGGGCTTCTCTGTCCAAAAGGTAGCCACAAGCCACATGTGGCTATATAAATTTAATAAAAATTAAATAGCACACAAAAAAAAGCAGTCCATTGGCATCAATTACACGAGTTATTCCACCCTTAAGTGAAAAATCAACAGGACATGATTTATTATAATTGACTTATTACAGCATAATAAAATGTTAATTACAGAATCTAGATTGGCATATGGGTGTAGATCCTACAATTCTTTCAACTGTTTTCTATGTTTGAAATTTTTCGTAAAATGTTGGAAGACAACTATAAATTCAATTACACTGGCCACATCGCAAGTACTCAGTAGCCACATGTAACAGCTAGTGGCCACCCTATTGGACTGCACAGATAGAGAACATTTCTATTATCTCAAAGTTTACTGGACACAGTAGCTCTGGAGTCCAGCTGCTCAAGAATCCTGGCAAGGCTTCAGAGACTAATTCTTGCACCCTAAGGTCAGTCCTGACTGGTCCCTGGGGCAAGTGGATTACGACTGCACACTTTTAAAGAGTAGGGGTTCAGCCAGAGGAATAACAGCATACCACAGGCATGGTTACTAACAGAAGGAATGAAAGATCGAGTCTATAAGAAAAAGGTTGAAGGGAACTGGGAAACATGACTGGGACCTGTGTTCATTAGGAGTTAAAATATGAATTAATAAATGAATAAATACACTCACACATGTATGTGTTTAAGGGTAAGTTTTAAATAATATGTAAAGCTGAGAACTCATTTAGTTCCCACAGATACACAAAATACATATATGGTGAAATAAGAAATAAGGGCATAATTAGAGATGTGCCTAACTTGGGGTACTGACTTTACTCTTGTAACCCTTTAGGCAATCTCTGCTTATACCAAAAATATTTAAATGTGAATAATCTCTGAGGAGTTTGTGATAAATGTAAAAAATCCCGGACTTTCTGTAAACAATTTCTATAAGGACCAAAAAATTAAATCTCATCAAGTATGGAAGAAACAAGGGAAGATGTACAATTGCCTTTAATGGGTGCGAATCTGGCTACACATTTCTACTTGAAACAACTTCTGCCCTAGGATTCACCTACTAAAACAAAGTTTTATAATCTTTAAAGTAAATCAGAGACATAGACTCATGAAAAAAAAAAACACTCTCCATCCAGGCTTTGATATGTTTTATTGGAGCACAATTTCAAAGAAAGGTGGCTTTTATTTACAGAATTTAATGTGTGTGGGGACTGTCCAACCCACTTGGACCCAAGTGAGGATAACAATCAAGCTTGTTTATGTATTTTCTTACTTTCACTTTGCATACAAAAAAAATTTGTCTGTTTCACATTCATAAAAAGCCCAGTATTGTAAATAAGCCCTCCCTTACCCATCCCTTAATTAAATATAAAAGCAGCTTCAAAAAACATACAATTTAGATCGGTTTAATCTTGAAATGTAATCCAATAAGACTAAAAACTAAACATTTCAGGTCCTGTACCAAATAGTAAAATACTCGAAGGCCTTCAGGATCCCTAAAATTTAAAAAGGTAAGAGTTACTTTCTGGTTTCTAGAATGAAACAACATAATTTTCTAAGTTAATTCCTAAAACAAAACAAAAACCAAAAACCTAAAAAATTTACTTAAAGGAAGCAAGGAGAAGGGGAGAATTTGCTGGTAACTATAATGAACATACTGAACAATTACCATCTCTATCTTTTCTGTAAGAAAGAAATATAAATTTTCTTCACCAGTATTCATTTCATATTTAAAGTGTTCATTTTCTCATAAAAGTAATAGCTATGTATCACAAAAATCTATAAAGCAGATAAAATTATAAAGATATAAAAAAATACTTGCAATACTATATGTCACTCCACACGGAGTAACTATAAATATTTTGATGTTGCTCTATTTTTTTAATAACTAAAATCATTCCCTGTGCCCTTTTTATTATTAATTTCCATTACATTAAAAAAATTCACAAATAATTTTTAGTTAATTTAACAATTCTCTCCTTGTTAGACATTTGGATTTCTTTCCAATTATAAATAAGGCTTCAATGACCATCTTTATGAATAACAGCTTTTTCATTATTTGAGAATATTTCCCCAGAAGAGATGCTCAGAAATGAAATTACTAGGACAAAGGTGAGTAAAATATCAACAGCTTTTAAAGCATATTGTCAAATTTATTTCCAAAAACACTGTACCAATTTACAATCCCAGTGGGTATGAATGCCACATCCTCACCAACTGTAGGGAAAATAAACTTGATAGTTTAAAAATGTCTGGTCAGTCTCTATGAACACAGCCTTCTGTATCCAATATTTTTTAGGCATTCATTCCTTTCTCCTTTCCTGTAATAAATATTCATAAAGCTCCTATGTGTGGGCCAGGCACTGTGCTAACTTTGGAGACACAGCAAGGTTCTCAGGGAGCTCACATGCAAACCAGCAAAGCAAACAAATAAGTTATTACAATTTAAAGTGATAGGAAAAGCACAGTGAGGACATTTTAAGGGGAAAGAGTAGAAAGAAAGAACTGGAAACAGATTTTTCACACAAAGACAATGGTATGTGCTACAGGGACCTAGAACTTGTGAGGATGAGGTAGCTAAAACCATACTTAAGCTCTACTGGATTTTTCCCATTTATTTGAGGTAGAGGAGAATGATGTGATATGGGGCTAATGAGGCTGATATAACCCAATGAGGATTTCTTTTAAATTTTGTCATACTGTTTACAGATTTTTACAAAAAAAGCAGTTAATAAAAACTTGGGCATTATTATGTTGTTAGATTAAGAATTTTTTGGCAATCAATTAAATACTCTGCTAACTTCTTTGATAACAAGTCTTCAATGACATAAGAATCAGAATTACAGCTGGCTAATAAACTGATAGGGTGCCATTGAAATAATCTTAGCAACCTGGCTATAGTTCTCTCTCTGTTAGAGATAAATTTTATCAATTTAGTCAAACTGCTTTAACACACTTACTTTGACTGATTTACATCAATAAGAGAACCTATTTTTGATGTGGTGAAAGAAATGTGTTCATCTCCAATTACAATTTCAAGCTCCTGAAAAAAATAAAAGAGAAATGTAGTTAATATAAAAATCCTTCCCAGAGATATCTGTATTCTTGCTACCAAAAGGTCCCAATTTTAGCTGCAAGTTTTCTAGCAGTCACAGAGAAGGAAAGCAAAAAGGACACTTGATCTGTTAGACGTAAACCGTGTCTATAAAATAAGAACCTCAGCAACTGCTCAACAGTCCCCAATGCTGGGACCAACCAAAAGTGCTTTCCAGAGATCTCTTAAAGAAGATACTATAAAATGAACAATATACCTAAAAGTGACACACAAACGTTTCTTATAACGTCAGAACAAACTGAAGGCATCACTTTGAAGCCCAATGATGTAAAAATAATAATATGTGTATAAGCCTATTTTTAATATGATAAATACAAACACATTTACCCTTTCTACTGGGCTCTAAAAACAAAATGCATAATAATAATAGCACCACTTTGGTACCTATTATGTGCCAGGTCCTGCTGCTAGGGACTTTACAAACATTATCTGTAATCCCTAAAATACCCTTATCAGGTAGGCTCTATTAGGCTCATTTTACAAATGTGAAATCCAAGATTCACAAAGCATAGGAAAATACTTGTTGATATTTACAACTACTAATTTACAACCACTGATATTTGAATCCTGGATTGTAAGGCTAAAAGACTCAGACTCTTTTGAGTTTACAAAACATTAAGAACTAGTAAAACAAACACCATAAAGTAGATGTTCCCAGTGTGCCAGGATCACTGTGTAAGTTTTTCTCTATATTTTATCTGCAAATCTAAAACCAGTAATTAAGAGGCTATGTCTGTGACTTTTCAGGTTAAGTAAGAGATGACATTAAAGACAGACTTAGCTACACATTTGATCAGAAGACTTAATTATGCACAGCCTAAGGCACACACACAATGCAAAGTTAAGTGAGACTCTCAAAGTCATAAAATCTTTAATCTGAAGATCCAACAGACAACTTCCAGAGCATGCCTAATCCTCCCCACCAACCAAAACACATGAACACATCATCAAATGGGTAGATGAAAATACTGGGCTCTCCCTGAATCTAAAAGACATAAAGAGTTCACTGCTATTGTTTGTTTTTTAGTACATATGCACATATGCATAAAACATACTATCTAAATTTACCTTTTATGTATTTCCAACGCATAAAATAAATACTGCTATTACCTTTGCTTTCCTAAATAATGTTTTTTTTTTTTTTAAATAGAAGGGTTAAGTTACTGCTAGAGTGTCAGCATGTTAGATTTCTCCACATTTTCTTCTAGGCAAAGAAGGTGTTACAAAGCATAATCCTCAGGAACATACAAAAGTGAAATTAAAAGTTTCTTCCTCCAGGGGTTTATCCAATTTCTCCAAGAATTGAAAAGACCCAATTCAGAAATCAAACTGTCTTTCTACAGAGAGAAATCAGGCCTTCAGAGCTCTTCAGAAGCCCTTTGAGACACATCAGTTACTCTGAAGGGAATATGAGAGGCAAAACCAATGGTCAGTTTGAACAAAGAAACCAATCAAATCTCTCTCTGGGGCATAAAGATGCAAATAAGAATTTTCAAAGTTGTAAATTTGGAGACAGTAAATTTTACATAGTCAATGAGATCCTAAGTCTCGAATTTAACATACACCTGTACTTATTCCTAATAAAAGTGATTAACGTACAATACAAATTATTCACAACAATGTGAAAACATCCTAACTTTGTGGTGGCTACAGAGACTGTTCAAAAGGATGCAGATTTAAATTTAGAGCTATGCATCGACTCCTACTAGGAGGAAGCACAGAAAATGAGGCTAAGTAAAACAAAATTAAAGAGTATTTACCAGGTGCCTTCTAAAGAGATAACCAAAGAATCAATAAGGATCTATTTTAAATAAAGAGAAACACAGCAATTACGTTATCAGTTTTTAACATTTATGCATCTACAGAATCACCAAATACAAACCTGTCGGCCGACCCTGTCAGGGGGAGGCCACAAAGCATCATCTTCTTTTGTAATTTCACTGTCATCAATAATCCTCTTCAATTCTTCCATTACACTCTTGTGTACATAAGCCTGAAAATAAGTTATAATAAAAATTTCATAATGCCTCTCTATTTCTTCTCATAATTCAAAAGTAAATAATAAGACGCAGTTATGAGCGCTGAATATTCAAACAGAATATCACAGAAAAATTTAATTCTGATTCTAAAAGTACAAGACAGGAGAGAATGATTCATCCCATGATTTTTTCCCACTCTCTTGCCCTTTCCTTTAATATATATATTTTCCCTCTTCACATCACCACCCCTCTTTTAAAACCCTGTATTCTGCCTTTGTAACATGAGACTCAAATATCTCCAAGTGCTTAAAGGTGACAACGCAAAATCTATGAGGTGAACAGAGACAAATGCAAGTGCACGTCACAGTGTGCTGAACTTTCTATCTCTAACTTTTGAGTCTTTCATTTAAAATTATACTGTGTTAAATCATGATTATCAATTAATAGTGAATAGAGTAAAATGACTAATTATAAAATGAATTAAGTGATATGTTCAAATGTGGGATTACAAATTAATATATTCAGATTGCTTCTTTTGTTGTTACAGAAGGTACAATTATACCTAATTTAAGCAGAATCCCTTTTCAATCTATTAATTACCTTCTTTACAATACAGCCTTAGATGTTACTTTTGTAAATTCAACACAGACATGAGGAAAATGAGCCAAATGTAAAAAATCAGACATGCGAAAGAAACTTACCTCTTTTCTGATCATGACATCATTTTTGTAATTGCTGTTGTTGGCATATCTAAGCTTTCCTGTGGGGAGTGGAAAAAAATTCAATCTATAACAGCAAAAACTGCTAAAACAAAAAATAAAGAAACAACATCGTAAGCAATTTTGAAAATAAAAGCTATTTTATACTACTATTTTTATTAATTATTTCCTCCCTCCTAGCATAAGATCAATGCTAGACATGTAGATACTCAAAAATTTACTGGTAAATTGTCTGCAGTTGAAGCCAGTCAAATTTTTCAATACTCCATGCCTTTGATATAATTTTTAAATATTTGATATAATTTTTAAGTATTCCATGCCTTCAATGTAATGCAATATAATGGGAGGGCCATTTCTAAGTCTCATTTTCTTAAGCTATGTCATGAACTACACATGGAATCTGAAAAAGGAACAAATATTTCTTTTAAAATTTATGTTGTATGTCTGTATTGGTGCTCAGTGATTTACCCAGAAGACTTAATCTAATCCATAAAACAACACTAAGAAGTAGGTTTTCTTCTCTCACCTATTCATAGTTGAGAAAACAGAGTTAAGTAAAACCTGCCCAGGGTCACACAAGATTCAGATCTAGATTTACCTTCTTCCGATACTCAGGCTTTCCCCACTACTCCAAAATGTTCTCTGTTAATTATTTTCCTTCAAATGTATGCATATAATACGACAATGCTAATATTTTAGAATTGTGACTAGGAAGCATACAAACTATGTGCTGCTTCTGGATAAAGGCTGGCCAGTGGCTTAGCTGATTTATAGCTAATTTTAATATGAACGTTTCTCCCTTAGAGACCAAGAAAAATACTCTCAAGACTCCTCTCAACCGCCACCTTCTTTAAGAAGCTTTTCCCGATTCTTTCTCGTAGATCTAACCACTCTGCTTTTTTTGTATTCTTAAGGCATCCAAAGAAGAATAACTGTATTTAAGTACGCAAAAGACATCATTACACTCATTTTTCTACTCGTCGGGCGCCCCCCTCCGGAACAGGTCTCATTCGTTTTTCGACACGTTGCCTTACATACAGCGACCGAATGAATAAAATGGATGAATGGGTAATCAGAAAGTTACTGGTCACAGGAAGAATATCAGCATCCATGGATCGCTGCGGGGTGGAGACGTTTTCAGAAATGATCATGTTATGTATTAGGTAGATAAACTAGATGACCTGCAAGGTCCCCAGCGCTGCGCTGATTCTGGGATTCTGATTCACGTGGGTTCAGCTTTTCAGCATCTGGCAGGATTAGCTTTTCTGAATTAATGTACACCCACTAACTATCTTTCGTTCACGAAACCGATTTATGCCTCCTACTATACTCTTAAACTCCTATTGCTTCGTCTTTCAAGCAGTGGCCTCAGCTCACATTGCACACTCGCAGCCCGCGGAAGCTGCTCGCCCCACCCCGCCTCCTCCGCTGCAGGTCCGCCTCGCTTCCTTCCCCAGCTCAGCACCACGCTGGGGGCGGCGCCAGCGGCCCCTCCTCTGCTCACCGTCCGGTCGAAACTCAAACTCCAGAAACTCGTGTCCAAATTTCCCCTTGTGCCCTACGTAGTAGCGCAAGTAAAAATCGCTGGCCATGGCCATTTTTGCCCCTAGAAAGCCTGCAGAAGACCCGGCCAACGTGCCGCCGGGCGCCTAGCAGTGACGTCAGTCGCCCAGGAAAAAATCGTCACTGCCCGCGCGCCCTTTCCGCCTCCCGTGTCCCGGTTGGAAAGCGGGAAAGCGGCGTCTCGCGGAAGAGACCCGGATGCACAGGATGGCGGGTAGTAGCCGCGTGAGTTTTGCTTTACTACGATTGTAAGCACACTCCTTTCAAAATTAAGTGGATCATATTATATTAGCAAAGCATAGGAGTGTGAAGATGTAACAGCATTTTCTACGGGCTTAGGACTAAGGTCTGCAAGTCTTTTTATTCGGGTCTCTAATTCTTGTGGGATCTTGTGAGGTTGATGTGGCATTATTCCACTTTACCTGGTGGGATGAGGAAAGAAAAAGCCCAGAATCACTGGCAGACCTGGAATACAACCCTTTTCTCCTGCTAGATTCCTAACTCGAGGCTTTCCCCTTTGGACAAGAATTACTAGTTATCCGCCAGCTAGAGGCCTATATTAGTGGAGACAAAGTAGAAAGAATCCATCGGACAAAACGTCTGCAATTTTGAAGAATACATTGAAACTGAAAATTCCTGACATGGTATAAAAGAGATCCTTTTAATAGCAAAGCTTCTTTCATTTAATAAGGGTTAACCTTTAGTGGACTGTGGAGTTTTGGCAATTTGGCTTAAGATCAAATGTTTTAGCCCACGTTTCTTACCAGATAAAACTAAATTGGACAAGTAAATGAATGCCGTAGTATAGGATAGGTTTTGAATGATGGGGAAAGACAAGCTGACCTTTTACACAAAGTTTATTTTTCAAATATTATTGATCACTCTTATTTTATCCACACACAATGTAATCCTGGCTTTTGGATGACCTTTAACTTTCAGTGGGATTTAGTAGAAAGAGTGGTGGTCAGAAGACCTAAGGGGCAGGACCCATGGCCAAGTGGTTAAGTTCTTGTGCTCCACTTCAGTGGCCCAGTGTTTGGCAGGTTAGGATCCTGGGCTGGACATGGCACCGCTCATCAGGCCATGCTGAGGCAGTGTCCCTCACAGTACAAGCAGAGGCACTCATAACTAGGATATACAACTGTGTACTGGGGGGCTTTTGGGAGAAGAAGAAGGGGAAAAAAAACAAAGATTGGCAACAGTTGTTAGCTCAGGTCCTAATCTTTAAAAGAAAAAAGGAAAAAAAATGAAGATTTAAAAAAAAAATAACCTGGGGCTGGCCCCATGGCTGAGTGGTTAAATTTACGTGCTCCGCTGCAGCAGCCCAGGGTTTCACTGGTTTGGATCCTGGGCGCGGACATGGCACTGCTCATCAGGGCATGCTGAGGCAGCGTCCCACATGCCACAAGTAGAAGGACTCACAACTGAAAATACACAACTATGTACTGGGGGGCTTTGGGGAGAAAAAGGAAAAATAAAAGTCTTTAAAATAAAAAAAAAACAACAAAGACGTTGGATTATTCACCATCTCTAAGCCTGTTTGACAAGCATTTCCTGTGTACCAGGAAGGGATGGACACCAGTAATAAAAAGATAGAGCTGGGCCTGGCCCAGTGGCCTAGTGGTTAAGTTCACACCTGCTGCATCAGTGGCCCAGGGTTCATGAGTTTGGATCCCCGGTGTGGACCTACACACCACCATCAAGCCGTGCTGTGGTGGTGTACCACATACAAAATAGAGGAAGATTGGCACAGATATTAGTGCAGGGCCAATCTTCATCAAGGAAAAAGAGGAAAATTGGCAACAGTTGTTAGCTAAGGGCCAATCTTCCTAACCAAAAGAAAGAAAGAAAGAGCACTTTGCACTTGTAGTTTAGAAAAGAGAGCAAACATGTAGACAAATATTAGCACAAGGGAGCAATTGGGATGAGAAAGAATTTTTTTTAATGCTGGTAGTACAACAGAAGAAGCAAGTCACTTTATTGGGGAATAGAGGAAATTAAAGAAAAGGAAGTATCAGGGAAAGGCATGTGACAAGGTCTGCTATTTGAATTAGACCCTGTTGGATAAGTTCAGTATGTGTTCAGAGGGATGGAAAAACATTCCAAGAAGAACATAGCCTAAGCAAAGGCACAGGTGTGTGAAAATGCTTGATTTAGGAAAGCCAAAAAGAGTATAGCTAGAACATAAGGTTCATGGAAATAGAATAACTAGAAAGGCAGACTAGGCCAGATTATGTTGAGTCTATATTAACAATTGTATAACTGTCAATATAGAAATCCATGTTAACCATTGTATAAGTGTTAATACAGAAAAATTATTCAGTTCCTACTATAGCCTGCCATTATGAAAAATACACAAGAAACTTAAAGAACCATTCCTTACCACTAGGGTGAAAATTAACCATTTCAGTTTGCCCAGGACTGAGGAGTTTCCTGGGATGAGGGACTTTCGGTTTTAAAACCTGGAAAGTCTCAGGCAAACTGAGATGAGTTGGTCATTGTACTTACAAGAATAACCCACAGAAATCTGACAATATTCCATAGTATCTCTGAAAATATAGGCATAATCCATTTGTGGGCTTTTGTAGGGAGCCTCATTCAATATCTTTAGACTCCTTAATGCATTTCCTTCAGATTTAGACACATGCTAGTGTTCATCTTCATGCCTACTGAAAGAGAGCTACAAGAACCAGACCTGTAACTATGGAACTTAGAGAACATACAGTATTAGGATCTTTATCTGTGGACCAGTTACTGTCTTTGTCCGCTAAAAAGACCTCTGAGCTCAAGACTAGTCGTCTCTAACCCTCTTTTTAAGATGAAATGTATTTCCTTAATCCTTCATATATTTAGCCTGTAAAAAATGCCAAAATGTTTATCTTTAGTATCACTATGTTAGTGCCATCTAGTCATTTCCAGCTCCTAGGGATCCTGTGTAGAACAGAGATGAATGCCTCCCAACAGGGCTGAACCATGCCTGGTCTTTCATGCCATCCTCTCACCTTCCTGTGCTGTATCAGACAGTGCTGTGCTGCTATTCACAGGGTTTTCATGGCCAATTGTTTGGAAGTGGGTGGCCAAGTCCTTCTTCCTAGTCTGTCTTAGTCTGGAAGCTCCACTGAAACCTCTCCACCATGGGTGACCCTGCTGGTATTTGAAATACTGGCAGCAGAGCTTTCAGCATCACAGCAACATGCAGATGCCACAGTATGACAACAGACAGGTAGTGCGGTTCCCTGATGGGAAAACAAACCTGGGCCATAGTGGTGAGAACGCCAAATCTTAACTACTAGACGACCAGGGCTTGTATGTGATATCACCACAAGGATTGCAAAGTGATAGATAAAGCATTTGTGTTTTGTGGTCTTCTTGGATGTTACAAACAGAGATGCAGAAATGTTCTGAACGGCTGCTGAACACTTGAAATTTGGCTAGTGAGACTGAGGAACTGAATTATTTTTAAATACTACTTAATTTGTATTAATGTAATATTTAAATAGCCACATGTCCACTGGCTACTGTACTGGACAGTGCAGTTATGTAAGAACCATTTTATACATTTTTACTTGGAGTGGAAATAGTGAAACTATTTTTTGAACATTGAGAAATCTCAATTTCAGTTACCATGGACTTCAAATTAGGGCTTCAAAGCTGGTATCACTACAGTTTATTTATGAAAATAAATGTTTGAGCTGCTTAAATGAAGCCAAATTAAGAATATTTATACCTTTGCTAATGCAACCTATCTGTGGTCAGCTTCAAACCACCCTTGTGAGGCAGTTAAGAAGTAAATAAGAAAGATAGTGTCAAGATGTTGGCATAGGTGGATTCTGCACTCACCTCTTCCCACAGACACAACAAATTTACAGCTACTCTTGGAACAGTTACCCCAGAGAGAGAACTGAAACCTGGATAAAAAAGACCCCCACAACAAGGGACACTGCTGCTTGAGGTGGAAGGGGCAGATGTTCCTTTCTGGAGAGAAAAAAAGCCACCTGAGAGACATGGCACTTCTTAGCCCCAGTGGGGAGCAATCTTCAGGTATGAAGCTTTCCCTGGAGGAATGGGGGATAGGAGTGTGACAACATTACCACAATAAGCAGCTTTTGGACTCAGCACAACCGAGACAAGTGTTATAATATCTGGCTTTGCTGGCTATTAACTACATCAGGGAATACCCTCAGAAAAGCTATTGGACATAAGGGGGAAAAGAGGCTATTCTTAAAGGGCCCCAACACAAATTCACCCATTTCAGAAACCAAGCTAAAATCACCAGAAAGAAAGGTGCTCAGTCCTTGGGTGAAAATAGACTCAACTGATAGGCTCTGGGTGCATCTTAGTGAGAGGTGACCCCTCCTCAGAGACTGAGACATTGGTGGCAGCCATTATTGTGACCTAGTATAGGTGTGCTGACACAGATGCTAGAAGATGCCATTGGAGTAGTTCCCCTGGACTATTAACTCAAGTGTCCGTGCCACCCACTAGAACACTGATTTAATCTGGCTCAGCCAGGGCAGGCAGCCCACCCTAGGGACTGGTCCCACCCAAAAGCAAGCACTCGGGCAACTTGTGGGCCCACATAGGTGGGGTGCCTGGAAATGTTCCAGCCAGGCGAGTGGGTCTGCTTCTGCAGGGCACAGCATGCACTAGGATCAGACCTACATTGCTAGAGTGTGGGGTTCCTCTGCAGTGGTGTTACAGGGTCTGCTTCAGTGTATTGGGGCATTGCATGGGGCAGGACTGTATTGCTGGTATCTGTGGCCCTACAGGCAATGGGGCTTGTCAGCTGCAGCACATTTGTGCTTCTTATACAGCCACATAGGGAATTGGACCCACCTTCCAAAACCTGAAACAATTGGCCGCTCTCATACCTGGGGCCAGCCTCACTCAGCTAAAATCCTGAAAGAGCTGACAACAGCCTTGCAGGCCAGAGTC